GGAAGTTTTAATACTAATAAATTCTATCTAATATAAAAAAATTATCTGAAATGGCATAGATTAAGAAGCACCAGAATAAAAAAGGTTTGGAAATATTTGCGTGTTTTCGGGCGAAATTCACCCTGCAGAATTTCCGAGCATGCTGTGATGGATTATTGTCATTATTGGGAATGATAATATTTTAATGTGACTTTTTCCCACCTGTCAGTTGCAATCAAGGCTGCCCAGCATTCTGAAACAGTCTCATTTTGCTAGGTGGCTAGTCTTGTGCAGCCTCCAAAATGCTTAGAATATTAATGCAGGGAGAGGAGAGTGAATGCTCTCCACAGTTCCATTGTGAACTGTTTGTTTTATTTTAACCCAAAGGCATGCGAAACCCAACTAAAATAATGTTTAATAAATGAATGCCAGTGAATGGCAAAGAAAAAAGGAACCCTTTTGGGCGACAGTGCAACAAAACCATAGAATTTGGAATTTCTTTCCCCTCTTCTTCCTTAACCATGGATATTAATTTCTGTAGGATTGAATTTCTTTCTTGACTGCCTCATTCAGAAGTGCTTTGAACTTATAGGAACAAAAATAATAAGACATTTAGATCAGGCTGCAAAGGGAGGAAGGTATTTATTGAGATGAGGTTTAAATACACATATATTGGATTGAATACTTAGCTGTGTTGATCTTTATCACTTCCTGCATTTTCTCATTGTATCACTTATTTCAATCCCTTTTCCTCTGAATTCTTCTACATCTTTTTCTATTTCTCCCTAAAATGTTCCTTGTCCTCTTCTAGCTCTTACTCCAGTGTGTGGCTCTGTCTTTTCCTGAACTTGTGCCATTGATTTTTTTCCCCCTGTGACTTCATTTATCTGGCAAGGAAGTACTCCTCAAATTGCTTCTTAAGCATACAAACCCAATTATTATTTTTATTTCATTCAACAATCATGCAACCAGTGTATGTAGTAGAACTACGTTCATCTTAAACGTCCCATTTACCCATTGCCTACTCTAGATCCTTGAAACTACCCCCACATGAAAAATTCTGCCACCCTTAGGTCCAGCTTTTACAACGTAGCCATTGGTACCTGCAAAACGAAAGTCTTCGCCAAGCATTGGACTGGCATCGGTATGGCCACAGGTTGCCAATCTGTACTGCCCTTCTTGCTTCCACTTCATCTCCAGGGCAAAGGTCGCTGAGGTCCACTCAAATGGTACCCAGTGCTCTCCCTTTCTGAAGATAGAAGCTCCCAGTAACCTCCCTTTTCATCCAGTACAAAGTAAGGTGCCTATTCATTCTGACAATTGATTCACAGTCTTGTGGACCCGCCCTCTATAGCACTGCTGTGTTCACCGCTTTAGGACATACAGCTAGTGTTTAGCATTTTCAAATGAAGTCAATGTTTACATTGACACACACTTAAGGTGATTAATTCTGGGGAGTGTGTTGTTTGGATATCTAGGAATCAGAGGCAATCGAAGAGCTGGAATTCAGATTTCCTTACGCCTGCCTGCCAAGGGGCCTCAATCAGAAGTAATTTTCTCCATGAGGGCACATGCAACTCAGTTGTGAGCCTTTTCTGAGCAGATATTATTATTTGTGTCAAATTATGTGTGGTGGCTTTCTGAAGTGGACTTCTGTGCCCACTAATCCATACACAAGAGGTGCCCTCATTCCCCCCTTCATTGGTGCTGTTAATTGTGTGCTGGGCTGCAAGTGTCTCTCACCTTTTCAAAACACTGGTTTATGGCCATGAATTAAATGTAAGCTCTTCCTGTTAAAGAAACATGCAATGTAGACAGCAGAGGGAGAGCTGATCTTAAACTACAAATACTCTGTGCATTTTAAGAGAAACCCTTTCCTCCCCTCTCCCCCAGATCCTGATATGATAGCATGACTAAAGGAAGGGCTAGTAATTTCACATTTTAAAGTAGACTAAATTATATAAATCTGACCCGTGCTTCGGGAGAAATACCAGCTGGCCATTAAGGCACTCTTCTGTGGCTTGTTCTAAATAACAACATTGAGATCTTGTGTATTTTGAACAATGAGCTCAAAAAATTTTTCACCATTTATTTATTTATTTTTTATTTATTTATTTTTTAATAAGTGCTTGCCTTCATTTATATGCCTGGAATTGGAATTGATAGCCAACACATAAAACAAAACAGTCCATGGAAAATGGAATTTTATACTATCAATTAAGATCTATAATAATAAAAGTGTAATATGCTAATTAGATCGTACATCCTTATGGACAAAGCTGGGCCTGAGAGGGGAGTCCAGGTCCCGGTGCCTGCTAGTGGCCAGAGGGAAGCCAGTGCCAGCAGCCTGGGGGTGGGGTTGGGGGTAAGAAAGGCCTGCTCTCACGTGAATTTCATGCATCAGGCCTCTAGTTTTATTATAACCTTTGATAAATGAGCAGTTTTGTAGATTTGCTTCCTTTTAAATTTTTACACGAGGTTTTCCTTTTAATCTTTAATAAAACTTAAATTTGATTTGATAGTATAGGAGGCAATTTTTAAAGTCATGGAGTATTTTAAATAATTGTTCAATTACATATTATCTTTAATAAAACCCATCTAAGAATGATAGCACATATGTTTGGAATTTCATTTCTTAAAAAGAAAGCATTTTATTGCTATTGATTTTATTCTTATAATATGCATTCCTTCTGTTTATAATATATAGACTTTAATATTTGAAGAGCAGCCAGAAATAATAAAAAGAATTTACTAAAATATATATGAACTATTAAAATATTTATTTTGTAATTAGACATCTTTTTTTGTTAGCCTTAAAGGCAGATTATATATTTTTAAAAAGTATGCATTGTCATTTCTATTATTTCTGGTATTAAGGCCATTACTGTACAGATTGATTTAGTATGGATATAAAATATATAAATAATTAAATACTAGTAGTTAATTATTTTAGTGTTGGTAAAGTGTACTAAATGATGGCTGTCATTTGTTGTCTGATATTTTGTAGTTTATAGTCTCAGTGATCTAAGAAGAGTAACAAGAGGTTTCTCAATTTTTAAAGACTAGATCTTTATGTGTTAACCTATATTTTATAATGTTTATGACTACTAAAGACTGGCTTGCATAGTAGTATGATATGTTAATAAAAGGTGTTTTTAAAATCTTGAATTTTTATTAAATTTAATTGAGCTTACATTGGTTAATAACCTTATACAGGTTTCAAGCGTATATTTCTCACAGCAACCTTTTTATTTATTAGTTTGTAACCTTATTCTAGTTAACTAACCTTATGATCTTGACTTCCCAGATCCCCAAAATAAAAATAGTAGTAATTCCCTTAACTCCCTCACTGGGTTATTTCAGAGTTTACAAAAGAAAGTGCTTTGGAAGCCCTACATGTCTTCTTTTGTCCACAATTGTTACAGTTAAATGTTTTGAAAAAAAATATGGAAAATATGCTATTACTCATTATACTTAAAATTAATAATTAGAACCTTAAAAGAAATGCTTAATGATTGTAGTAGTTTATGTTGTTACTATTTTACTGTTCTATGGGTTGTTCTTCGCATATATTCCTTGCATAACTTGCTACTTGACATTTGTTTTAAGAGGTGAAAGATTATAGTTTCAAACTTGAAATAATGATAAGAAATAACTAATATGAGATTCATGACTTTTGAATGTGATTTGTATGAAAATCCATTTTTTTCCCCACCCAACACCTTGAGTATAAGAATACACATTGGAATTAGGGCATTCTTTCTCCCTTAACATCTGTTATTTTAAAGGGGAAAAAAACCCACATAAATGAATTTTAAAAAGGACAAAGAAATTCCTTAAGAAATTCTTTGCGTGGATGTTTCTTAAGAAAATCCATGCAAACAATCCCCTTCTTAAAACTGTGCCCTATGAATTCAGCCCTTTAGAAACTGGCTTTGGGGAAAATACCAGGTATACCATTGTTCTGTAGGTAGCTATTTCTGTTTGCCAACAATGCTTTTAAAATGTGTTAATACATTCATTATTTTTATTGACTTATGAGTTGTTCTTTGCTCCTAGCACACTGCTAGGAAGAGAAGGAGGCTGCGTAAGCCTTTTAAGTACTTAGCCTGTCTGGTGACAATTAGTACAAATGCCCATCATTGTGTTTTTGGGATAAAATGCCATGTTGCTTCTTCAGGAGCAACAGCAGGCTTCAGCTTAGTGAAAACGATTCGAAGGCCAGTTCTTTAGGGCAGTCAGAAACCACCGTCAGCGTGTGGCATTCCCACACAGCCCACTTCAGACCCATTCCAACAACCACAGCCCTCCCTTCCCTTTCAGTGAAATAGGTCCATTAATGGACTGTACCTCACTCTCATTCACTCAAAGCAAGTTGTATTTTTATTACTGAAAAAGTATCACATAAATACAAATTACGTTTTTCATTAGAAAACTACTTTTCATTTCAGAAAAAAAAATTCAATTAATTATGAATAGGGCTATGCTTTCATCAGGGAGAGAAATATGTAATTTTTCTTTGAGCCTCAAACACATAGAATGAAATCTTTTCTTGGGATCCACTCTTAAGATGGATTTTTAAAAGCAGGGACTTTATTAAAATCTCAGTTCAATTAAAATGCATCCAATTACTTTGAATCTTTATTAAAATCTCAGGTAAAATTGTACAACCCTGTAAAAGAGACTTGTACTCTTTACCAGGTAGTTAATTCTAACAAATGAGCATAAGGCGCACAATTTTGCTCTTCGGGGGAGAATGAAAAAATACTAGTGAGCTTTGGGCTTGGAATTGGGGGTTGGAAAAAATTGGAGTGACAGATTCCTTCCACTTCTCTTCATGGGTCAATATTATCGGTGAATATGGATGTGGCATTATCTTCTGTGTGTACCCTTGGTGGGATTATTTGGTCTCTTCATAGAGTTTTTCTCATCACCTTAATAAAATGACCCAACTTAAGGGTTTTTATTTCACTATTGTCTTTGGATATTTTTTGGTACAGTGTCCCTGATTCTTTTTCAAGGGCCGCTAGAAGACGCCATCGAAGAGGAAGAAGAAGAGTGTCCATCCGAGGCAACAGATATCATCTCCAAAGGAGACTTTCCATTGGAGGAAAGCTTTTCCACAGAATTTGGGCCTGAAAATCTGAGCTGTGAAGAAGTGGAATTCTTTTGTAACAAAGGTAATCATGAATGGTTGGTGGCAATCTGCGAGTCCCTTTGCTCAGATGATTTTTGTAAAGTTTTTAAAAAATGTACCAATAGAGTGGAGTAAAGGTGCTCAAATTGCTGATATTTATGATTCAACGGTCTGAAAATACCTGCAGAATTTTTTAAGCACAAAATATTATTCTTAAGGTTAAAAGAAGTATTTCCACTTTAATAAATCCTAGTGTATATTTAAACAAAGAGTTTTATGTTGATCTGCCAATTAACTATGGACATTTTCATGTTGGGTGGCCAATCAACTGTAATAGCTTTAAGGTTTATCAGTTCTTTTATTTTGTCAACAAATATTTATTGAATGTCAGTTGTTTGCAAGGCACTGAATGAGTATAAGCATTGAGTATAAGCAGTGAATGGGGTAGAGTCCTTGCCCAAGTTTCTGGTTCACTCAGTTTTAAAACTGAGCACTGTATATGTTTGAGGTTGACTTTCAACATGGAGGAATGGAGCCTTTTGTGAGTATTGTCACATAAGAAAATACCCACTCTCCATTCTAGAAACTCTTTTGACGCATGGACATTAAGACAGAAGAACTTGAGACTGTATGTCTCAGCCTGTTTTTAACCTTGACATGGACCCTGGTGGACCCTGCCAGTAACTGTGTACTCACTAAGAATGTATGAGCATTTGCTTACTTTTTTTGCAAAAGTGAGTTTAAGGTTTCTCATAATTCTTTTTTATTTTTTATTTTACTGTCTTGTCTCTGTAAATGAGGGGAGTTTTCTAGTGCCTCCTGCACCAACATACAGTTTCAAAGTGTTTGGATCACTTCCTTGGTTTAGGACAGCTGTTTTGTTGACTTTACCATGACACTTTCCCCGAGAGTATGACTGAGAGTGTGTTTCTATCTCTGTATGCTTGTGCATATTGGTGGTTGCTCCATTTTTGTTCAGTCATGTGTATTTTTTAGGCAGAGAAATTATGAGCAATGATTTTTTTTATGTGTTGGTGTGAATTTGTTGATTAGACCTTAATAGTCCAGAACCAAGGATGCTGACACAGCTCCCCCCAAAACGGCTAACTATAAACATTTCTCTGTGGCCATATTTATATATGTTATTACAATTCCAGTATAGCTTCTCATGTTGCTGGTGTCAGCAGAACCTAGGACCTAAAACTGTGGAAGCAGATCAGCACCAGCACCTGGACCCACGGCAGTTCTTTGACCATTCTCCTGAAGGCCTCAGGATGGCTTTGTAACATGGCCCTCGTCTCCACATCAGAGATGTTCAGCAGACAGAAGATACCTTCTTTGTTAGTTGACTCAGATGTCAGGACTGATAAAATTTTCCTTAGTTTCCTTGGATCCGTGGTCGGCAAACTGTGGCTCACAAGCCACATGTGGCTCTTTGGCCCCTTGAGTGTGGCTCTTGCACAAAATACCACGGCCTGGGCGAGTCTATTTTTAAGAAGTGGCATTAGAAGAAGTTTAAGTTTAAAAAATTTGGCTCTCCAAAGAAATTTCAATCGTTGTATTGTTGTTATTTGGCTCTGTTGACTAATGAGTTTGCCGACCACTGCCCTGGATGTTAGAACCACTTCTTGACAATTCATAGCCATGGTAATACATAAAAAAAGCTGGCTGGAGTTGAAGAGTTTTTAGACCTATTTGAAGACATTCCAGTTTCCTTCTTTATCAGCAAATATATCCTTTAGTTCACGTAAGAGTACCTACCTTATACTGGGGGGTCACAATAAAGAAAGGAACCAATAGTTAGAAGGTCCTATTTATTCTTCTGGCTCTTGTCCTTAAAAGAGTTAGTATATGGATTCTTACATTTTTTTTTCAGTTTAATTAATCTAGGAATTTTAATGACAGGTATTAAAAAATATATATTTTTTTGCTTGTTTGGGATGATCATTGGTTAAGGCCTGTGTAGAATTTCAAGTTTTAAGTTAGTAGTTTATTGGAAGAAAACAGAATTATGGCAGCTGCTTACATGACTAGGTAACTATGGTATCCAGACAAAAACTCCATATACAATAAAGAGAGATGAAACTCATGAAGAATAATGACAGGCTTTTAGAAACTATGAAAAATGGATTACAATTATTAAGAACATTGTTTAATGGATATTATTATTAACTATTTGATGAACTGTTGGAAAACGAAAAAACACATAAAATATTACCTAAATAATGCTTAATATATCACACATGATATATTAAGTAATATATAATTGATATACTTCATATTATAAAAATAATTCTCTGATGTTTAGTTTGAAACTAGAAAGTGATGATAGGTGGGAATAAGAATTCTTATTTCCATATATTTTTCAGGATAAGTTTTAGTATTACTATTTCACACTATTGCCATCTTAATTAATAGGAAAATGATTTCATTATTTTACTCTCAAAGAGTGAGCCAGGGAATTCCCACTGCAGTCAGCAGGAACTAGTATGAAGAGAGACAAGTCTTTGATATATATTTCATCCCCTTGAAGTCATACTGGGAACTCCATCCATTTTTCACTTAAGTTGATTAGCCTCAGTAGGAAGAGAAAATTTTCTCTCTGGAAAATTGGAAGTTAATCTTTCTGTAGAAATTCACATATTAGTCTCAGTGACACATAATTATGTTTTCTTGCCAGTTTCACAAAGAAATATAGATTAGACTTTAGAAACGTGTATTTAAATGGTTAACGATGCCAGTGTCATGATTAAAAAAGTGGGTGAGAATTGGTTATAAGACAAATTTTCTTAACTTTGGATCGTTGATGAAACATACTTTATGCAAATATTCTGAATTATTTACGACAACTTAAAACTTGTTGATATGCATAGGAAAATGAATTGGTTTATTTGGAATGTTTCTTCACCTAAAGATCCAGCCACGATCAAAATTTAGCAATGAGATAGTTGCCCAGATGGGCATAAGGAATAACCTTTTTGAACATCAAATGCTTTTTTCCTTTATTAAACAAAAGATAGCTGTTTAACAACCCTATTACAAAACATGGCTTAAATATCTGAAGTTTTCCAAATAAGGTGTTTGATATAATAAGGAGTATGATGATGACATATAGTTACAATATATCTTTATTCATATTTTACTAACCGTGTTCTGTATGAAGCAATCCTTTTGTAATTTCCTATTTAAAAAGAAAATAAACTCTACTCTTTGTTGGGACCCAGCTTATATAGGTTAAAGTTCTTACTTCCTTTTGAAAGGGAGCTTGTACATTACACAGGATATCTTCAGTGCTTAGAATGACTCTTGACTTAGTGTTGGATTATTTTCCTCAGTTCTATGTGGGTATTATCTATTTTATTGCTGTAAAAGTGAAGGCTTTTAGACAAGTCTCAACTCCATTTATTAATATCAGTAAAGTTGCTAATCATCATAAAACATTTGATTACATATGATTACATCACTTTCCTAATGTGATATTCCACATTGATGTCCAAGAAATTTTGGTCAGAATTCTGTTAGCTTAATCATAGGAACCTAAAGCACAAATATTCACACATTTGGATAAGATCACCTTGAACAAACCCTTGTTATAGTCAAGGGACTAAAATTGGAGACTGACAATTCAAATGCTGATGGAATTTCCTGTGTCACTTCTTACTTTTGGTCAGTGACATTTTTAAATGTTTCTAGTTTTCATCTCTGAAATGAATGAAATGGGCTCTGTTGAAAAACACTCTTAGAAGTTTGCTTTGGTAACCTCCAATTTTAAGAATTCTAGCAGAACATAAAGCCATACTTTTAATTTGTGGCATCCTCTTTTGTTCAGTACGTTTAGATGGCTTGGCATCTTGCCTCACAGTATCTCTGAGAGGAAGGAAACAAGCAAGAATTATTTCCTTGAATTTACGGATGACGAAGACATCAAGGCTGGGTCCATAAGTGCTACACATTTCCTGTGGCACTGGCCTATTTGCTTCAGTGATTTTTTTTTTCTTCTGCCTTTCTTCTGGTTTATATACTAACCAGAGAAGTACATCCAGGCATGCTTCGAACTATGCAAAGTAATACCAGTGGACACACTGTGGCCTGGAAAACAACCCAGGGAGCTTTGAGTTTTGTCACTGCTGCCAGGTGGGACCCTCTGATTTGTTAGCAATTGTGGATTAACTCAGAGATGTAAGCTGCTTAGTGAGGTTGACCCTGTAGATGTCATTAATGAAAGTGGTCTATTATTGAGGACTGTTTTCTCTTAGAAATATCCACAGTTGTTCATGACTAAAGTGAATAAACATATCTTGGGACACATTTGGGAAGAATGTCACAGGATGTATGAACAGGAAGAAGACAATATCACTGTTAACTAACCATGGCAAACCACGGTTCACGAGCCACTTGTAGCTCTTTGGCCCCTTGAATGTGGCTCTTCCACAAAATACCACGGCCTGGACAAGTCTATTTTGAAAAAGTGGCGTTAGAAGAAGTTTAGTTTAAAAAAATTGTGACTCTCAAAAGAAATTTCAGTCATTATGCTGTTGATATTTGGCTCTGTTGACTAATGAGTTTGCTGACCACTGAGCTAATAGAATGTAATGCTATTAAAACAACAACAACAACACACACACACACACACACACACACACACACACCTAACACTAAAGAAATTGCATGTCATTAAGTTTTGAATGATACATAATGATTATCTAGAAAAGTTAATGAGAGCCCTTCTCGAACGAAGGCTGAAAGGGAAACGTATGCCATCAAAGTTGATTTTGAAAGACAGGTAAACCCCACATCTAATCCACGTACCTAGACATGATGATGATGGGGGAAATCACTGGATATCAGGCTTTACCTAGGGAGAGAAACTAATACAGGGTGAGGCAAAAGTAGGCCTACAGTTGTTCCTATAGAAAGATTAAGGTGGAAAAGGGGAGCATAATGGAAATCCGTAACCTAAGAAAACACAGTGTAACAATAGATTTTTCTCATGACATTCAAAAAGATTTGACGTAGGTGGTAGGCAGAAAGTAAAGTTTACAC